AGCTCAGAGTAAATGAACTGTAAATGTTTTCACACAGTATATAGACCATGACAGCAGAGTACAAGAAGGAACGCAGGAACCTCAGCAAGAAGAGAAGAAATTGTTCACTAATGATCTTGCGGCCCGCAGGGGAGGTGCTCCTGTACTCTTGAAGCTTGCCCTTCCCCCTGCGGCCCACCGTGCAGATATCACTGACATCCGGGGCTCTCCCTGGCGTCACAGAAGCCTTTTCCTTCCACCCTGGGCATACTCTGAAAGGCACACCCTGCCACGGGATTATGTTCTCATATGTTAAGTGACAGGTGCTCTTTTTCTTTCTAAACAAGGAGGGAAACAAAAGGGGAAATGAGAACCCATGGCGGCTGCAGACAGTTCTCCACTGTTCAAAAGAGGAGAAAGAGTACGGCCATTTGCGTGAAGGAGATCACCTCCTGGCTTTGACACTGGCTCACCATGAGAATCGCAGGGTGGCCACTGCATGCGGCAGTAGAGAACCTTCCGGATTGTCTTTGGGACCCACCACATCTTCCCACTTGCGTAAGACCGGATATCGCCTGAACCTGCCACTTCACCACGTCTTACAGATTTCTAGTGATAGAAGTCTCTACAGTGTAATGAAAGTTTGAACTGACCTAATTAGGTTGATAAAATTTTCAGTGGGGATTTAATTCCCTCTAGCGTTTCCCTCGTCTCTTCCCCTTTTAGAGTCAGTCCTTCCTTAAGTTCATTTGAGCACTTCTTAGCAGCTGCATCTTAAATCACCTCTGTGAGTTAGTGTCTCCACTCAACTGATTATCCAATTTCCAACAAGCACATATGGCTAAGGATCAACCTCAGATAAGGAATCCTAAGGTGTTTCATCGAGTACACGCTCCCTTTGTCTTGTTTCATTTCATCATGAAGACTGTTAAATCATATCGAGGCTACAGGAGGAAAATGGGTGTTTAAAGCATTTGAAGCACAAAAAGACTAAGCAATGCTTAAGCAATAGTTTCTGAGAGAAGTTCAACGATCAACATCAAGCTTGCTAATGTTACCACAGAAGCTCTCATGGTCAAACTAGTGGGATAAAAACAAACGGAAGTAAGACTTTCATCTACCTCTGCAAGTATGAAATACTTCTGGCTTGTACTTCAAGAAGTATCTGTGAAACTTTGATACAGGAGTGATTTTCAGGTGGTCTATGGTAAACAGCATGGCTGTAGGTGGATTCAAATGGACACCAAGCTTCAGACCCAGACACCATAACTGCTCCTTTTACAGGATTCTTTAACCTCCGCTCCTTCCAGTTTCTAAGAAAACTCCTGGTTAGAAAAATTCAATTCAAATGAAAATGATAAAAAAGAAGCTTAAGCAATATGTGTTGCCATTTCTTCAATGTTATAAAAATGTAAAAAAAATATAAGAAAGTGTTTCTGCCAAAGCAAGCTTAATGCTGCTTTCATAAAAATCACATTTCAAAGCATATTTTTAACGACGTATTATCCTCTAGAAATTTCACAGATGGAGGCTGAGTATAATGGCACCTCATTATTTACAGTATTTCCTTTAACTTCCCTTGTTAATTTTTTATCTGTGACAGTTATTTTCAGTGAATGCAAACATTTCTCCAAGGACTCTTTGACTGATTTGTAATAAACCATAAATATTTTTTTAAAACTATTTTTAATTCTCTATTTTGAAGTTCTTGGACATTCAAGACTTCTTTTCATTTTAAACAGACTATTACATGGTGTTCAGGGTAGGTTTTACCAAATTGTTCTCTTAACTCATTTTTTAAATTGATAATGACATTTTAAAAAGCAACCTCCTTTTTGAGGATTTGTTGCTCTGAGTTTGAACCAAGGATCACTTCACATAACAGTCCATGAAATTGAAGATCTAAGTTGCTTCCAATGAAAGTTAGATTGCAGGCTATTTCAATATGTTGAGCAATTTCCTTTTGCGTTTTAATCTTCAAAGAGTGGAGATGAGAATCAGTAGAACTGGTAGGCCATCTCTCCTTATGTCTTGAGTGCCACCATTTACACTGAGAGTCAGCCAAGCAATTATTATATTTCATCTCTCAAGATTCCATCTTCTAATCCTGCTTTAGCCTCTCATTATTCTTGGTTAAGTAATTCTTCTAGGTCTGCTTCTCTACTTCTAAAATAAGGCAACTGGCTTGGAGAATGATTTCTAAGACTCCTCCTATTCCAATGCTTCAAAATTTCCTATGTGACTTGACGTCAGAACCCCAGAACTGGTTGTTTTAAGGGGTTTATATGCTCCATTGAAAAAAACACTTACATACCCATAATGGGAGCTCTAATTAAGGGATGATGCAAACAGCACACATGCTAGAGCAGCAAACCAGGGCAAAGGAAAACTCCCAGGTGAAGGCTGACAACTCAGGGAGGTTCTGTGAGAATGAACGTTGGAGACTTTTTATATTTTCAGTGACTCCATAAAGCTGAGCTATCTAAAATAAGGTGATTTAACTCAAAACCCATGATACTTTGTCACTATTTCATCTCAGAGCCAGGAAGAGCAAGGCATTCTAAATAGCAGTTCAGACATGGATGAAAACCGAATTATCAAGAACCCAACCAGCTGGGGTTGATTTGAAAATGTGGGCTGCTTATGCCTGTACCCTTCTACTCTACAGCAGCAGGAGGAAATGGAGTAGAAGACGCTGTGCAAATCCAGAAGAACCTGGCAGTATTTGCTCCAGACGCAGAGTCCGGGCTGGGGAAGGGAGTGCAGTGGGAAGCACCTGCTGAAAGGAGAGGCCTGTGCAAGGAACCTGCAGAGACCAGCAGGGGCCAAGAGCCGCCAACTCCAAGTCGGTGCGACGACTTCTGAACTCGTGTTCTTGGTAGTGTGGTTTTTGTGGTTGAAGTTTTGATATAAAAAGATAAATACTAGTTCATATCAACTCATAAACATTTAAAAATCGAAGACGTTAAACTGAAGCACAGCTCAGTTTGAAGCTGTCCTTTTGGATTAAGGCAATTAACTTCAGCCTCACACACACAAAGATCTGCCTCAGCCATGACGATCTGGCGGAAACCATGTGTCTCTGTTGAGCTCATGGATCTCAGAAATCCTCATTTTTTTAAAGGATGCCATAAAGAGTTCAGTAGCTAAATCTCCACTCGAGCTACAGATCCGTGGATTCCCATTCTGTTCTCTAACCCACAGCAGGTGTAACTTTTTATAGATTTAAAGCAGGGCATGGGGCTGATAGAAGGTCAGCCTGGCTCACCATGTACACAAGGAACACGGTGTGGGTGGTTTGGGTGTGGCTCTAATTTTTCATCAGCAGGAAAGGGTTTTAGGAATCATCTTATAAAATCTTATTATATTTTTACCATGTTTCACCATGTTTCTTCCTAACCCATAATACCTTCTCCTTCCCCTAACTTTCCAAACCCTTGTCATTCCCCACGACACATTCTGACTCTCTCATGTGTCTTCCTTTACTACTGGAACTCCTTCATCTCACCCTCTTTTTAACTCAAATGAGTTTAACTGACATGAACCTATTACCCCACTTCTCACAGTCTGTTACACATTTCTAAAACTTGTTCAGTCTGTGAACTAGATGGTCTGCACACTCTTCTAGAGTAGGAAGGACCCTAGCAAACATTTCTTTCAGTACATCTTACATTATGGTCCTTAGCAGTAACAACCTGAAATTATACTTTGGCGACTAAATGCTAACCTTTATCACTTAGTGGCTGTGGTGCCTTCCTGAAGGAACTTACCTGCTCCAGACCTCAACTTCTTTCAAAAATGCAGATAATAAAATCACTGCCTATATTGTGAGGCTCTCTGAAAAACTCTTCAAGACAGCACTAAGCACAAAGCAAAAACTCTTAAAGTGCTAGCACTGTTTTTTATCAAAATAATAATTATTTTTATTAGTTTGTTTTTACCTGCAGAACTTAAAATAGGCCTAGGTCATATTACAGAACGGTTAAAACTTATTCTCTGAAGGACAGTCAATCACCTGCACCCTAAATTATGGGTAGATTCTGCCTTTCAGAACCGCATCTCCAGGTATATGTTGTAACTATAGCATTTTTAAATCCCCCTTTGAATAGTTCTGTATATTTCCCCATAGCAGACACTGCACATCCACCAGTAATTGCTTTGCAGTGATACTTACATGAATCAAGATTATATGATTAAAATATTTTTTTAGAATAGAACAGTATGTCATTGCTTAGCAAGAGCACCTATAGCTAAATAATTTGTAAGTTCATAATTTTTCAACTTTACAATTTTGATGCCTACTTGATTCCATTCTAGCCACACAATAGAAACCAGGTCATGCCTAAATGGAAGAAACGGCTGCTTTTATGAAAAACACTCATAAAAGTTGCACGATCTTTCTCTCTACACACCAACAGATTTCAACCCTATAAAAAGTTATACCAGAAAACAACATCTGACAATGAAGAATGCAATTGTGATCAACTCTCTTCTTATTTTTCCCGGGTGAATGTCAAGTAAACTTACCAGATCACAAATGACACAGCTTTCTTTCCTTCAGAATATGTTTAAAATGTAGGAACAGAATTATTTCATTCTACAGATTCATTATGGTTTTGTTTTATGTAGTGTTTCTCTTGTAGACTAATTTTTTTCTCCCTTCTTTCTCTTACCTTTCAAAAAAGTAACCGCTATATACGTGACACCTAACGAATTTAGCTAGAAATGAGAGGTTAAGTCATTTAGTCTAACTTTAGACCCAACATCTCCTTTGTTTGACTTTCTCTTATAGCTAGTACACAAATGTCCATCCAAATATCAAACCAATAAAGAGGAACTTAATTCCTCCCTAATGTTCTATGAATAGATCTTCTCCTACAATCTTAACTAATAGCAAAACGACAAATTTAAGCTTGCGCCATTTGACTCCAGGGACATCTGGTCTTCAGCAGTGGTGCTTTCTGTCTGGAGCTGAAATGAGGACATGAGTTAGGAACGGCTCTGGCGACAGAGATATTTACCTCTTTGAGACAGCCCATGAAGTTGTTACTGACTGGGGACCCAGGGAGGTCTGCTGTGCTGGGACTGCCTCCAACATAGAAAAAGTCATCAGACCCCAGCATGGTATAATCTTCTTGTGTGTAGCCCGTTGTGGTAAGAATCCCATCCACTGATATTGTCACCTAGATAACAAAGCACAGGGAAAGGACACGCTATACTCAGACCTAGATACTGTAATCCTGGGATATGCCTGTTTTGTGTTTTGTTTTGTTTTATTTTTTTGTTTTGTTTTGCTTTTTTTGCTTTTTTTCTGTTTGTTTGGTTTTTAGTTTTAGACCTATGATGAAACCCATTTTCATGTCTGTTTGAGGTTTATTCTTAGATTCTATCCAACTAGCCCTAAGAGATCTAAACTAGTTAGAGAGCTGATTATTGAGCTAGTGTCAGCATCATCCCTACTGCAACTTAAAAGTTGTTTAGCAGACACAAAAATGGTGTTAGTAAAATGCTTCCTAGGTTAGTTTTGCTGGTGTACGTATTAGTAGAGTTTAGTCGTCTGTTGTTAACTAATCACAACGTGCACCTTGTTAACAGAAAAGGCGCAAGCTATTTCCAGCACCGTCACTATTCGCACTATAGAGCAGCAACTGTTCGGCATGCAAGTGCCTAAGTCCATGCCAAAGGAGGGGACGGCAAAGCAACCAGGAGAAGCAGAACACGCCGTGTGCACATGCAGGGGACCGCACAGTCCAGAAACGGAAGGAAAGAAAACGGGGAGAAACAAAGGAAAGGAAACAAAATGGCTGCTTTGTGATGACGGAAAGATGGGTGGGCGTGGCATCTCCAGCATTCCCAAATCAAGTTCCATGCCATGCATGTGAATGGTTAGAAACTGGCTGAGCCTGCGGTCACTCCGGCCAGCCACCATTGGTCTTTTCCCGTGTTAACCACAGCTGGATGCAAACGTTCGAAACGTTAACGATGCCCCTACAGGTGATTTGGAAAACAGAAGTTGACAGGAACAGGTAAAAAATAAGAAAGTCCACAACAGATGAAAAGAAGGAGGTCAAAGTAAGCAGAAGAGTACCAACCGCAGTTCCTCTTTTGTTAATGATGTCTACAGTTAAAAGAAAGAAAGAAAACACACGGCAAACCCAAAATAAGAAACAATTAGAATGATATCTACCGAACAATGTAGTTTGTTTACCATAGCGTGTCCAATGCCTGAGTGCTTTGTGGAGAAGGGGGGAGAAAGGAAATTAAAAACTGTGAACAGAATAACGATCGTTACTTAAAAAATATGATGGTCTCTACCATGTTAGTACATTTTTTGATTCAGGTAACGGTTAGTAGAATGAAACATTCCATGAATGACATGTTAGTTATTAAGCATGTTAGTAACATAGAAAAAGGGCAAAAAAATTTTACAAGAAAAAAGCAGACTAACAAATAGGCCTCCCACAGAGGTAATAGTTTCCTCCTGCCATTTTCCTTCGTATCCTGCTACTGCAGAAACAGACACATGGCAACATTCCCTTTGTCTTCCTGAGTACGTCTGAGAGGTGCTGTCACAGTCTGAGAGGGATTCCAGGACCTAAAGCTCACCTGCCGACCTCTGCGGCCCTAAGCCCATAATTGCTCCCTCCCCCGCCCTGCCCCACCCCAACCCAGCAAATTAGTATGAATTAGTTGGCATCGCCCTAGTACTCAATTTTACAGCATACAAGGACTCCTCCTCAACTCCAAAACTTCCTTCGGTCATATTGATGGACTTTAGGGTCACAGTTTACTGCAATGAAACAAAGCAAAGATCCTGACACACAGAATGCGTAGAATGGGTTTGTTTTTAATCTGTCCTGCCACACACATGCACCCGGCTGTATAACCACTGTTTCCTTGGCTCTACCAATTCACAGTCTGGTTTATAACCTGAGCAAAGGCAAATCTAGAAAGTAGGCCCCTCGAGACCAACCCTTCCTCCTGTGCTTCTCTCAAATGAGCCTCTGGCCTCTCGGTGAGTATCTGAGAGAAAAAATGAAAAATGAAAACCAAAGAGACGACTTCCAGGAACCGGTGTCTACAGCTATACGGACGGCGGGCCCCCAGCGCCCAGGCAGGTGTGCAGCATGGACACGCCCCCCATGTCAACGAGGCACCTCAAGTGCCTGGGGGGCTCCCAGCATCTTCCCATCCCACTTGTCTGCCTTCACTAGACTAAATCTGCCCTCCCCAAGCTCCTTTTAGCTTCTCTAGCTCAGATACTTAAGCCTTGCAGAAGCGGGGAAGAAAAGGTTAGGCAGTTAACAGCTCAGAAACAGAGGGCTGTTTGAGTAACGAAAACCAGAGACAATCCGGTCATTCTGCAACTGTTCAGAGAAACAACAGATACGTTAGGGATATCAGTTTGAGATTAGCAGGTTCCGCAAAAGTATTAGTCGCTGTCAGCACTTAGCAAAAAGATGCATTGTAATATCATAAAATTTCAAATCATAAGCAAACTTACACTGATCAATAGAGAGGGCACTCTCTTTACTTTCACCTGTAGATATACTGTAATAATGGTCTCTGTTGAAAACATACAGTATATGCAGACCCAGAATTTGGTAAGGAATTTATATTTTCCTGTGATATAGCCTTTTGCTAATTCTACAGATACACAATCAAATAGAAATGGGCACCTAGAAGGTGAACTGGCTTCTCCAGAGTCATTTGGAGTTTCACTTAAAATGCCTGCGCTAAAAATGAGAATACCCCACAAAAAGAGTCTTTAGAAGATAAGTAAACTCCCAGAATGGTTCTGCCCCTCAGGGACTTCTCTTGTTCCCTTTTCGAGGGTGGGAGTGAGGAGGAAGCACGGACTGATCCGATCCCAAACCGCAAACACTCTGTTTTTCAACTACAAAAAAGGAGCCGTGATTTCATGAGCCCAATGTGCATGCTTCCAAATGATCACTATGAAAACGAATAGTTAAAATCAAACAAACAAACCAAAAAACACAACAAAATCACACACATCACAGGAAGGGCAGGTCGCAGGGATATCCTTGCAGCCCTCTGGGATACTGCTATGTCACTGTATCCAAATAGCTCTTGGGCCCCCAGAACTTTCTAGATATGCCCCTGCTCAAGTATGGCAGGAAGATTCCTCTCAGAAGAAAAAGCTGAATTTGCACGTGACTCTGAGGAGCCCTGTATCTCACTGTCAGGGTGTCAAGACCCCCACACACAGCTACCGCAAGGAACAAAGCCAGTTTCTCTCTTATCCACTGCTCTGTTACCTGACGCAGATTCCTGGTGACTTTCACATCATGCCAGGCATTATCATTAAACTTTCCATTCACGGGCTCCACTAGCGCTTCAAAGGCCCCTGATCCCAAATTAATGACCAGAGAGACAGCTCCATTTTTCAGGGCAAGATTGACATAATCAGCTGATTTTCCGGTGTGAAGCATCAGTCCATTCCTCTGAAGGGTTTTAAAGGACAGAGTTATTTCATCGCTGCTGCTTTGAATGGGGTTTTGAGACAAGTCGTAGCAGAAGTATTCAGATCCCTTGAAAGTGGCAATATATTCTTCTTTTCCTAGAGAAAAACAGAAATATACGTGCCTAAGTAAAGAAATATTCCATGCAAATCAGCAGATCTTAACAAAACAATAACTAATCATCCCCAAAATGAACCCCTCCCAATTAACATTCATGACAGCAGCACTTTCAGAATCACAGAATGCTGTAGGTGACGGCATTTTTAATAAACCTCACAGCTATTGGGCCATCAACTACAGTAGCTAAAGCTGACATTCTTGAAAATTCAATTAATTTTTAAGTATCACTGTAAGAGCTCTGCTCAGAGAAGGGAGCTCTGTGGTGTCTCCCGGGCACGAATCAGGTACCATAAACGCATATTGGATGGTTCCACTCTGCTAGCAACAATGGATTCCAACATGTCTGCAGCAGTCTCTCTATCCAATTGAGGAATTATTTTAATTTTCAGTGAGACATTTATATTCAAAGATCTTTCTCAGTGAAATGCCAAATGTTTCTATCCCTGGGAGACCATAGCAAACTATTTGGTAAGGGGAAAAGAAAGATTAAAAAAAAATGAATGCGATGTGGGAATAAGGAGATCTCTTACAGAGCGTGAGCGTGTTTTCCCTTCCCGGATGAAGCAAGTAGTAATAGCAAGTCTAATGGAGTCAGCTGGATTGTTAATTCATTCCCTGATCTTGCCAAGCAGATGGCAGGGCTGGCTTTCATGAGACTGATAAGAATTCCAGCACATCATCATGGGGATAGAATGCAAATGAAGTCTCAATATTTTCTACGTCTCTCCATCTTCACTATATTTAGGAGTAGCCATGTGGACCCCTCCAGATGCTAGGCAGATCCAACAGAAATAAAGCTATTTGGAATGAGCAGTCCTCTCCCACTGGCGAAGTGAGTTTAACCAAAGGAAAAGTGTAAGCCAAAAGCTCGTTTGCCTTCCTAGGCAGCGCCGGTGTTGTGCCAAAGAAAAGGAGACAGGGCAGTGGGGAAGCACAATGCGATAAACCTCAAGCACAGAACTGTGACTGGTACTGGAGAAGCCTAAAGGGTTCCAATGGTACACAGCGTCACTGCTGTGGCTGCTGGGGGACTCCTACGCAAGCAGGCATGTTGCCCTTTCCAAGGCGGTAGGTTCTTACTTTGGAACTGTCATCATTTCATAATTTAACTCATACCTGGAATCACAGCTCAAATCAAGATTTCCCCCTCTCAATGCCTGATGACCCGACTTTCTGGGGGTGAAAGTGTAGGAGGCTACAGGTAGGTAAGCCGTGGCACTAAGGTAGTGTGCACCTGGGGACTTTCAAGGGGGCTTGAGCCCCTTTAGAACAGTGGCTGAGTACTAGGAAATAATTAGCAAAGACCAGGCCAAAAAAAAACTAATCAGGCCAAATCAACCACATTATGAGGAAGAGTCACAGGAAGGAAAACTCAGTCCTAGTATTGGGTCTCTGCCATTCACACATGCAGAACACTGGAAACCTCCAGAACGTGGTACCTCCCATATGTTAATTACCGTCCTGGCTTTTGAGAAACAGTAGAAATATCTGACCTACTTGCTGTGTCAGAAAGTGCACAGCACAGGTATCTGTCTCCCCGTTCAGTTCAGTGCGGCGAGCAATGCAGTACAGGGCACCAAGATGTTTACACATTACTGTTACACAAGGGGCAGGTGAGGGCCAGAATTTGAGTTTAGATTGCAACTTGGTGGCTCCTTGCTGTCACCAGGGGCAATTATGCATCTTTTAAAATACCAGTTCCTAAAAATGGTTAATGACCCCAGTCTTTTAAGATTGGCATGAGCATAAAATGAGGTAATGTTACTGCAGACATCGAGTAAAATTGGTGAAAGGGAGGTGAGTTCCTCTTCACTTAATGCTTAATAGTGAAATCTAGATAACTACCTTTAAAATCAGAAATAAGAAAGGATTGTATCACATTTTTATTTAATACCATATTTGAAATTGCAGCTAATACAGAAAGGCAAGAAAATATATGAAAAATACAAAGGTTATAAATGAAGAAAGTAACAGCATGTTAGCAAGTATGGTTATAGAAGTTTAAAGACCAAAAATATTGACAAAATTTAGTTGGTTTGATAAGATAGTTAAGAAAGATTTCAGAGTTTTATATACAGGGTAAATCAATGTTTCTAACATATATATTTATAGATTTAATAAAATCCTAGAAAAACTCAATTTTTTAAAAAGAATATGAAATGCTTATTCTACAATTTCTGGGGATAAACAAAGAGCTTCAAAGAGCAAAGGTGTGGCAAAGAAAGAAGATGAAGCAACTTGCACACATGGATTGACATTTAACAGAAAACTGTGGTATTTGATAGAGTGAATTACGGTAGATGAGCAGATGGTAAAGGTGATCTAACTAAAACTCCCTTGAATATATACTGGAGCAATGTACACAGGCAAGACAGCTGTCTGAGTAAAGGCTAGGTGAGCTACTAAATGGTTCTGGGACAGCTGGTCATCTACATGAACAAGGTGAAAATGGATTTTTACTTAATTTTATTGACAAAAATATTGTATCTGGGTGAGGAATATAATTTAGAAAAGTAAGTCTATAAAGCTTTTCAAGCAACAAATTATAATAAAAAGCATGGAAAAATTTATATAACAGGCATAAAGAATCACTATAAATGTATCTATATTAATATAAAGACAAGCCGTTTATCAGTGATACCATAAAGAAAAAAGTTAAATTGAAAATATTTTCATTTCATATTAATCAACAGAAGAAGACAATTCAGGATCTGGCAAGCACCTCAATAAATCAATATAAAAACATAGGAAAAGCAGACAAAAGATATATAGTATTTTCATAGAAAAAATATGAATAACTGAAAAGATGCTTGATTCTATCAGTACTCAGAGAAAGGCAAATATAAAAATTATGTTCCTATACAATTTTACAGCCATGAATGCAAGAAAATTGAAAAAAATGATGGAAAAATTTTAAAAATTGGCACAACTGTTGATAGCACTGTAACCCACTACTGAAGAGAATGCTGAGACAAAGTCTGAACAACCACAACAGCTCCCTTTGGTACCACGCAAACTCATGAACATTTCGTTTATTGTAAAGGACATGGGGTCTCAGTCTTTAGAAAATAGCATAATTAATAAAAACAATATTCTCCAATTTTTTCACTCATTTCTGAATGTTCATTGCTCTGATGATTTCAGGACAGGTGGTTAAGTGGATTCTGGTCCCTATATGTACCCATGCAGTATCTGTGGTTATATCCACTGTTCTAAACATGACATGTTTAGCATTTAATAGATCTGTTCAAAACTTAGAAGAGGCCTCTGAAGAAGCCTTAGAGACTCTCTTCTAGCCCAACCTTTCAGTTTTCAGTAGAAAGTGAAGCCCCTAAATTTTATATAACTCTCCAGTGCACAAAGCATGCCAGTAACAAAAGGGGGACTAGAGTTCAGCCCCCTGACTACTAATCCAGTTTCTAATGTGCTACACCACCTGTGGGCCAGAAAGAAGAGTTAGAAAGTGTTCTGAAAGTGAGGAAAAGGGACAGAAAATTGTGAATATGTGTCTTAGTAAAAAAAAGAATAATTATCTTCAGTCTATTCAATTTAGGAAGGCAGTGAAATACATAGTATATTCACAAAGATTTTGCTTAAATAACTAAATCACAAAGTGTTGAGGTTTGAGAGGTATGGCATTGTTGAATGGATGCAGTGTTTTATCTAGGTGGTCTCCATCAGTACAAGTCTGTGTAACCCAGAAATAACTTCAAAGACGACTGCTTTGCCAGATAATGTGGAAGAGCTAACTGGAACAATAGCAGAGTTTGTGGCTCATTAGATCACAAGCTCTGGAGTTTATGAGTGCTGGAGTCTTTTAATATAGTATTTCTATTTCCTTAAAGTGAGAATATATCACTGTTTTTTATTGTTTAATTCTAAAGTTATGTAATTTATGCTTGCATTAAATATAATCACATAACTTTGGAAAAATGCCCAGTGTGGAATATGCAGCTAAGCATGGATCTAAGTAAGAAAAATATTTTCTATGTTATCTTTCATGAAAAAACATGTATAATAAGAAAAATACAAAAGCAAGTCTATTTTCTACAATATAAGACTATCATATTGCTTCTAATTCTTTGCTATTTTCTAGTCCTGGTCGTTAAGCTTTGTGTCACGTTAAGTGAATACTCTAAGGAGGCAGCGAAGCAGTTGTTTTCCCATTGGACACTTAATGCATAGATCTATGTCAATTTCAAAATGCAATTCCCAAGTAGTCTGTACACTTTTAACATGCATTAAAATAAAAATGAAAAAGTAAAGCTGCAGAAATGCATAAATCAACCAATAATTTATAATAATAATACCCACATTAGTTATGCGAATCAATAAAAAAGAGACTAACAAGAAAAGCAAACAAAATACTTGAATAGACCCCCCAGCATAAAAGAATATTGATGTGAAATAATGTTTGACTTCATTAGTCTTCAGAAAAATGCAAACTAAAACTACTGAGTGAAATGAAAACCACAAAAAAAATAGAATCAGAGGGATTGGGAGCAACTGGAACTCACACAATGTTAGTAGGGACTACTTTGGGAAGGTGTTCGGCACCAGCTTTTAAAGCCCATCCACACCTTTACCCTATGACTCAGCAGTCCTGTTCAAAAGTATACATACAGCAAAAAATGCACATGAAGATCATCAGGACGCTACACCAGAATGTTTACAGTGCCACTCTTCGTTCAAACTTCAAACTGACCATTGCTGAGAAGTTAGTTAACGGCAGGATACATTAATATGTTCATGGAGAGTCATACAAAATTATTAAACAGTAATGAGAATATATCATCTGCAACTACATGCAGGAATATCTATAAACTGAACAGTATTAATAGAGTCCAAAATGCAAGACACAAAAGATAACATAATTCAGATTCCATTTAAACAAAAATCTAACAGAAAACAAAACTAATCTTCGCTGTTGTAAAGCAAGACAACAGTGACCCTTGGTACAGATAGTGATGGACGTCTA